TGTGTTTTTTTTTTTATTTAAAGCAATTATGTGTTTTACTTTGGAACACAGAACATGGATAATTTGAGGACAGAACTTCATAAACGTCTATTTCAGCACTTTAAAAAAATAAAGTAGACAAGTTTTAGAATTATTTCATTTTTGCTGTAAGGTTTCATTTGATGAATAATATGCAAGACTGTCACTTAATTCATGCTTGCAGTTGGACAAAGCCTGCTATTGCTTCTCCGTAGTTAGTTAATTGTAACTGGAGTTGAGCATTTCGATAACCAGAGCCCCCGTTCCCTTGACCTGCTGCTGCTGCTCTCACTTGCCAACTCTCAGCTTTGCCTCAGTTGGTCTGGTTTATCCTCCTGTTCTGCCAAGCAGTGCTGGCATAAAAGCAAATTGCCATGCTGCTGGCATTGTTATCATGCATAAAATCCTGGGCCCTCAGTGTCATTTTGCAATTACGATCATGTGTTGCATAATGACATTTTGGTCAGCGATGGACTGCATATACGACAGTGGTCAGAGCAATAGTCTATACCATATAGTCTAGGTGTGTAGTAGGCTTTACTATCTAGGTTCATGTAAGTACACTCTATGATGTTCACACAACGACAAAATTGCCTGGTGACACATTTCTCATAGCATTGCCCTGTTAAGCGACAGACACTATTATACTTTGAGCTTTCCTACTTGGTCCCTGTTCCTATTTTCATATATTACAAAACTTTATTGTTCTCCTTGTCCTCAATTCCTTTGCTGTCAGCAAATGACCAAGACTTTTTCTTTGTAGAGAAATAGGTACTCAAGGAAAATTTTTAAAAAATGGATGAAACCAGCTGCTTATTTTCCTCACAGATAACTATTGAAGTAGGATCTCAGATGTTCATTTGGTAAAGAGCTAAGGCTTCTTGTCCACAACCAGTCCTGATTTTTTTTGTGAGTGTGCCACCTTGGAACCAGCTCCTCCAAGCCCCAGGAGAGCCTTCGGACAACTGCAGTCCTGACTGACATCTCCACTATAACCTGATAAGAGACCTCCCAAGTCAGAACTATCCAGCTAAGGCCACTCCCAAATTCCTGACCTTGAGAAACTGTGAAATCATAAATATGTGTTGTTCTAAGTGGCTAAGTTTTGGGATAATTTGTTTTGCAGCAAAAGACAACTGATAAGAGGTACCACAGGGAACTAATACAAACCTGAGAATCTGTAAATTTTTATGTTTTTTCTCATCTTCCTCACGTTGAAAGTGTGGTACTGCTGTTCCTGATCATTAATCTCTCTAATTCACCTAGTGCCCTCCACCCCACACCTGTTATGACTGCTTTATAATTGATTTCAAGGCTACAGGTGGAGAGGAGGTTGGTGAGATTATGAAAATCTTAAGCCATCTACTTTTTCTCTTTATATAGTGTCTACCTTTATTCATAGTCGTAGAAAAATTTAAAACTAAAAGGAGCTATTAGATAAATTCAGGGTTCATTCCCCCTCTTCCCCCCCCCGCCTCAAAGAAGCCACTTTTGGTCCTGAAAGTATGGGGACTGCTGATATTTAGAGCAGGCTTTTGACATGAAGTATTGTATATAAGCTGGGATATGAGATACTTGTGTGATTGGTTGCTAGTTTCAAGTGAAAATGATTCCATTAAATGAAGACTAAATGCTTCCCTTTTAATATGTTGAGCTGGGTGTGGCTTCTTGATGTTTCAACAGACATGAACATTTTATTTTATGATTTTGTATATCCCCTCAGGCAACTCTCTGCCTGGGTCCTTTGAAATTGCAAAAAGTAAATTAACCAGTGGCTCAAGTCCAATAAGCATAATTTTGGTTACAACTCTGATCTTAGTACAACCCGTTCCTGCTGCATAGGTCATGTGTGACTTGTTTAAAAAGTTTTTCTGTTTTAAATGTAAGCATTGCTGAACTATTAAAAAGATATTCTGCTTCTTGGTTAAAATGAAGGCTTAATTTAAGACTAGAACTTTATCATATTAATTGTATTTAATTATATATTTTTTTGAACTTTGTCTCCAATTAAGTATAGTGACTTGAATTTTTAAGTATTTTTTTCCTAACACTTAGGTGGGTTTTAAGGAGTATGTGGCTTTATCTAAGCTTATCAACCTGTACATATTTGTCAACCAGATGAATGCCATTATAAAATATGTAAAGAATTGTTTTGGCTCCTAGTTCAATAAGTTTACTTTTTAGTTTAACTTTGTCGTAATATTTTATACTGCTTTAAACATTCAGAACCCCGTTGAATTGGTGGTGACGGTCTAGGAAGGCCCGGTAGCTGGCTTTGACCCACCCTGTCCTCTAGAAGGTTCTTGACTGCCATAGAGAAGAATTCAAGGACAGAGTCACAGTACAAAGTGAAAACAGGTTTAACGTAATGGTTAAGAAGTGTAGGCTTCACAGAGAAAGTGTGGCCTAACTCCAGAGACTGAGCAGAGCCTGCACCAAGTTTGATACAAAAGTGAGAAATGCATACCTAATGTTTAGTACAATGTGTAGGCTGGCTCAAGAGAGTGAGCAGCAGACCCTTAGAAATAAGCTTAACACAAAGGTAAAGTATACACACCCTCTCCCAGTGAGGTGCAAGTGGGCTCCAGGAAAACCAGCAATAACTGCAGCAAGTTTGATACAAAAATAAATATGCATTGATAGACAAAGAACAGGCTTGCTCCAGAGTGAACAGCAGCCTGCTAAAGGCAAGAGTGATAAAAAAAGAAAGAAATACACACCTCAGGTGAAGTATAGGCTGGCTGTAGAAGGAGTGAGCAGCCTTGCTTTCTACTGGGATTCAACTTTTATAGTTGTACTATCTAATACATATTCATACTACCTAATGAATATTTAAGAATGTCATTCCCAGTTATGCAACAGTCTTGCACATGCTCAGTTGGTCTCTTTATAGAGCCTGCTCATTGGTCGAATTCCAGCATACCCACTGGAAAACACCTACAATATTCAGTACTCTCCAGCCCCTCCCGCAGAACTTCATTCAAAGGATAAACTCCCTTCTACTGAGCATGCTTAACTACTAGGGTTATATAACCCTTCTCTACTGAGTATGCCCAGCCACTGGATTTGCATAAGTCAACTTCCTGAGGTCTCAATTTCTATTCCTTGGTGCCAAAAGTAGGTCCAACTTGCAACAGTAACTCTTCTCTAGGGGAAGGCCTGAGACCTTGGGAGTGGCCTGAAACCCAATGGTGTGTCCCCAAACCTGTACCCCTGCAAACTGAGCACCTCCTATCTCAGTGATGGTTTATTTTTCCCTTTTTTGATATGAGATTTGCTTCCTGCAGAGTTTATGGTACTGGTACACCAAATCATTTGTTCTTGTCTGCTTCTCAGAGGGCCAGTTTTAGAACCAGTAATTTGTATTATTGGTAAGTATAGATAGCATACTTTCTAGAATTATGTGAGTTTAACAACAAAATTATCACTTTTTGCTACTCTTGGAATTTTGCCAACAAATTATTTCTCCTTTTTCTACATAAAATCAAACTAAACACCTTTCATTGAACTGCTCAACTTTTGATTTATAAATGTTTTTAATCTTTGACATCTTCCTATTTAAAATGATTCATGGATTTCAGCTTTCAACTGGGTAGTTCAAACTGCCTTTTACTGATAGTACATGGGAATAGCCTGCCACCTCTATAAATAGTGGTTTTTTTAATGTTCCTTTTACCCTAGTGATCAGTGTTGCTTTTTTCTTACCACGCATTCTCTTGCACTTTCTCCAAATCCCCTCACACCCCAAAACCTCAAGCTGTTGAATTTAGCCATATTATCTTCCTTTGTTTCCTTTAAAAATCATTCCTGCCCATTTTGCCACATCACCCTGACTTCTCTTCCTGTGGAAATGAGCTTGTCAACGTGGGAAAATTGTGATTGCCTTTCTCCATGTGACAAGTTGTCTTTTGGTCTCTGAAAGTCAGCTCTTAGGGAGGGAGTTGAAGTTTCAGGGAAGCTCTCGGAGGCTCACAACACAGAGGTGGTGCTGCCAGCATGCTTAAGTGGATGGATGTGTGTCGGCATGTGGGAGGCCATTCCTTTACCTGACAACCCTAACAAAGCAAAGGCAAAGAGTCCACATGGGATCCTCACAAGCTCAACCCCATAAAGCATTTTCTTTTTTAAGAGTGGTAAAGATGAAGCCTAAGCTAATGCTGGAACCAAATGTGTGTGTCTGAAATGCAGCTGATGGTAAATAGGATATATTGTAGTCCATGTTTGTGTAGCAGTTTGTATTAATGAAAATCATTGGTTGTGAATGGAGGACTTTGGTTTTGAAATTAGATATGAGGGCAACCTTGCAGTTGGGGGATAGATTTTCATTTTTTGGAGGCAGCTTTTGAGGCAGGTGCAGGGAGTGAGTAATGTGCCACACCTAAACTGTGTGATTTAGCCAATGAACACTGGGCTTTTCCTTGATCCTATAGTATGGCTTCCCTGTCTGTCAACAGCCAGCTCAGCAACCAAACCCAGATTCCAGGTGTGGTATTCCAAAGTCGTTCTGTAATTTGTAATCATAGAAACAGAATGTTCCTCCTCTTATTTCTTCCCTGCCAACAGTTTCTGGGTGGTGAATGTCAGTAGCTAGAGTTATTTTTAAAAAGAAAAGAGGTGAGGCTTGTCGTGCGAAGCTGGGAAGAGGGTGTTTGTTTGCAGAGCAGAGCTGACATCAAAGTGTAGATTACTGCTCAGTGGCCAGGCACTTGTCCTATAACAGGTAATGTTTAACGTGCCAGTCACAAAGATCACAGAAACAGCATATGCCCGGGCACAAGATAGCATTACTGTTTATGCTCTGGAAGACTGAAAGAATATACATGCCCATGTTTTTTTCAAGTATATGTGTGCATTGGTCTTGCTGCTGCCTCTTTTGCTGACTGTAATTGGACTTTGAAGCTTGGAAGTTATATCATAAAAATTTTTAACCTTTGACTGAGAGAGAGCTCGGCTAAGCAATCACTTTCCACTTCTTTTCACAGGATAATATAAATGTTTTTTTGAAAGCTTGTGAACAGATTGGATTGAAAGAAGCCCAGCTTTTCCATCCTGGGGATCTACAGGATTTATCAAATCGAGTCACTGTCAAGTAAGTTTCACTGGTTTGTTACATATTTTTTTAAACTTAGGGCTTGTAGCCTAAGTGAAACAGAAATGCTGAGAGTTTATGATTACTGGAAAATCGTTCTTCTCTCTGTGTCTTTTTCTGTTCTAGTTCCAAAATAGACTATTAAAAAAATGGCTTGGGGGCTGTGAATGTTAAGCTGTCTGTAATTGATAACCTATTATGGTCTTACTGTAAATCTCTTTATTGACCGAAATGTTAGTTTATATTTTAATGCTTGTCCAACATGGTAGTGTTTGGTTGCTAATGGTGAGGATACTCAATATACTTACAAAGTGAATTTAGAGATTATATTATAGTTTACAGAGTAAAAAAAAATTGATTTTAAATAGATTTTTAAGATATTTGAAATTAAGATAATTGTTAACATAAAAATTAGAATATGATGATGATAAGAGACTTTCTTACTATTTAGGAGGCAGCAGTGTTTAAGACCAATGTGTATCACCAAGGACCTTGTCACTTGTGGCTGATTTTTTAAAATGAACTGTTCTTTTTACTCTTTTAATAGTGCATTAGATGAGAATGCGCGGATATATGGTGTAGGAGGAAAATGGTGTTCATGTGTGAGTATATGGTTTCAGGAAATCTGGTTTTAAGCTCTGGTGAGACTTTTTTTTCCATATAAATCAAATTTCCTTCCAGGAAATCAGTAATAAACTTGTGTTACCAGATAAATGTGACCAGAAAATTATTTAATTTTATAGTAATGAGTATGTCCTTATCACCATGGCTTTTAATCCTAATTGACATTTTTCCAGGGGAAAAAATAAACACCTTATTCTATCTACAGAAATAATGGAAAAATCAGTTTCTACCAGTTCAGAGAAAGATTTAGTTTACATATTTAATATCCTTATGTAATAGCTTTAATAATTATTTAAAAATTGACCATAAAATATTAAATATGGCCACTTTATTTTTTAAAGAAAAGTAACCATCTATATTTATCTTTCCTACTACACATGGTCTTCTAGCAGTACAATCTTAAAACCCAGGCAGAATTAGTTTTTGAATCTAACAGTATATATTAAATGAACAAACTGTTTTGAGCCTATATGCTTCTAGATCTGTTGAAGAAGCTTTTAAAACTCCACAACAATGATATTTACATGGCAGGATGAGTCCGTCTGCATTTCTGATTAATTGAAAGGTAGTTGAGAGATCCAAAATTTCATCGTCAAAACGAAATGTCTACTTCTGTAGTATATGAGGTCATGTTTAATTTCCATGAAAAATATATATGTGGATGAATTTGTTTTATTTCTCCTAAACAACATATTTTTAAGACATTGGATAGGCAAAGAAACTTTAGACTTTGAAAGTCTTCTTTTTCTTAAATTGTTGATGTCTATTAGAGTAAATATGCTCCCCTGCAAATCATATGGTTTTGAAACTGCACCCTGTACTTGAGTAGGCTACAGACTAGGCAAAACATGTTTGTTGGTTCCTAATTCCAGCAGTGCTATGCGCAAAGCTTGCTTGGATCCTGTTTTATGAGATGTTGGGTTTATAATGTTTAAGAAAAATCAGTGGCTGGGCTTAGCCTTCAGTGAAATTAAATTACTGACAAACTGAAACTGAGGCATGCAGTTACCGCTGTAGTAAGAGGTATGCAGAACAACTTGTTTCAGTGGAAACTGCCAGTCCGTCAAAGCAAGGTGTGCCTAAGTACCGGCGAGAGTACTTGAGTGACAACCTTGACTTTGCTTAAGAATGTTTCTCCTGATAATTCTGTGTTGTTGGACCAAAGAATAAAGGGGTTGACCCTGGGTCTACCACAGTGAGAGCATTGCGGTCTCCCAGGTGAGCCACAAGGAAGCTGGCAAATAACAACGTTAAAAATGTTTGGTCGCGCTCTGATGCACTGAGAGAGCACTTTTATTAAAGGAAGCAGGTTTGAAGGAAAGCAAATAATTGCATACTAAATAGTAATGCATTTTTTAGTTTTTGTTCTTCCTGTAGGTCAAAAATCTGGTCTTACCGTTATTGTAGGTTAAAAGTGTTGGTTCGATCAGTGGTTCTCAATTGGGGCCACTTTTGCCCCCAGGGAACATTTGGCCATGTCTGGAGACACTTTTGGTTGTCATATCTGGGGTCGGGCTGCTCCAGGCATCTAGTGAGTCAGGGGTGCTGCTAAATACACTTTAACGTGTAGGACAGCCCCTACAACAAAGAATTTTCCTACTCAAAATATTAATAGAGCTGGGGTTGAGAAACTCTGGCTTAGACTTAGAATTCCTTACTTAATCTCTCTCTGCTAGCAAAATAGTCATGTGGAAACAAAGGATACTGACACGTTTAATGCTTTGCCAAAAGGTAACTTTTTATTTACTGACCTATAATTTATGCATTTTCGTGTTAGTATGTTTATTGCCTATTTAAATGGAAAGACTCATTGTAATTTGTTTGAGTGCAGTAATGTGTGTTAGTACTTTGAGATTATTTTGTTCATCTGTATACATTAAATTTAGAAGAAATGTGGCAAACTTCTTGATTACTTTGTGTTTTATTATAACTCAACTGCTCAGACTGAATCTAACTGTGGATAGACCTATCATTGGCCTTGTTGAAAGCACAATCTAAGTGTGACTTACTGAGAGCACATAGGAAAGGACAGCTGATATCCTGCATGTTGGTGAATGTGAGGTGCTTTTTGTTAATGGACAGCAGTGATAAATATATAGTTGGCATATGGAGCCTGGGAGAGTCGTGTTGAGAATGAAATGCTTCCGCAGGAGCAGAAACTGTTAAAGAGCATTTGGTATTGAATAATTTCAATAATGTAGACCCTAACTATAGCTGTCTTTTAACTATTTTCCAGTAATTTGAGATTTACAATTTAATTCGCATAATTTTTCTCTAGTCAAACAGAACTAGAGTACTCTTTATATTTCTGTAATTATGCACATTAATATGTATTCTAATTTTCTAACTGAATTATTTTACTTTGCAGGAAGTAGTAGTTTGAATTTTTCCAAGTATGTTTGAATTATTTCATTTATTTGGAGAGTTCATATATACAAGAGTCAGTTGATACTTTTGATACCTTTGACTTAATTGCTAGGATCCATCTTTACCTTTTTTCTTTCCAAAAGGCTAATAAGCAAACTGATGATTTAGTCTTTATGAATGGTAGATTGAGGTCTACATCAATCTGAGGCCATGAAACTTGCTTCTGTTTCAATGAATAATTACATCATTATTATTAACCATTTACTAAATATTCATAGTGAGCTTAGAAATACATACAATCCACAGAGAGGAGGTTGTGTGACTCCTGCAGAGCTATGTGTGCAAGGCCTGCAGGAGAGCAAATACAGTGACCACACCCGCATGCCACAGCACACTGGAGAGCTCCTATGGCAAGTGTCATGGGCTTTGTGGTGGCCTCTGATCATTGAAGAGAGGCACAGAGCAATTGCTTGTAAAGCAACTCAACAGAGTAGCCCAGAGGTCCTGTACTGGAGAACTCGAATTGCAGAAGGTAGGGTTTAATGTTACAGGTTTTAATTTTATATGTCTAGCAATTTGACTCAGATACTAAGTTCTGTATTTAAATCTTTGCTGTAACCAACTTATATGTCAAAAATTTTAAGCTGAGAATTTGAACAGATTGTAAACATGTTTCTTCTTTCCTCCCCCTTACCATTGCAATCCAGTTTTTAACACTTTTTCAGATACATTCTGTTCATAATATAATTACAGTATGCCAGTGATTTTGAATACAATATTTCACAGTCATGAAAAGGAATTATTTTCTTTTATAGAATTACTCTATTGTTATTTATAGTATTAATATTTTAGGTATAAAATATGACTTAATAAACATTGATATTGACTGAGGTTTTTTTAATATGTTAAAGTGAGGGTACAGAAATCAAGAATCTGTTATTTTTACACATGTTAGTTGCCAAAGGAACAGTAGTTAGAAGCAAAATTAGTGTTAACATATTTCCATCATGAAAATAAAGAAGACTCAGAATGATATTTTGAGGATGTAACTGTTCTCTAAAACTTTAAAAGGGTGCTTGATTCTGTGGCAGTATCAGAAAGTCATTTCTTCGGAATCAAGTTCCCAGATGGCACCCTGTTTTAACAGTCTGCCAAGTTGTGCTTGATGTATGTATGTGTATGTGCGTATTTATTTAAGGTTTGTTCACGTAAGTAAAAACATACCTACTTTGAATTATTTAATTTCCACCTTTTTCAGATTTAAACCTGGTTTTATATCTTCTTTTTGTTGTTGTTGCAAGCATGTGTCTTTCAAATGAATTTTCCTACATGTTAATCTTAAAAAAAAAAAAAAAAAAAAAAAAAAAAAGCAAGCTTAATATCTAAACTTGGATCTGCAACTTGAGCCTGGTGACTTTCACCTGTCAATTCATGTTACTATTTTAAAATGTTTCCTTTCTACCAATTTATTAGGAGAGAATAAAACAAAAAGGGAGTTTATTGGACTGTGCACTTCTCTATCCCATTGGATTCTCTGGTGTTAGGTCCTTACTGAAAGGGGGACATTAATTCTTCTGAGTTGCTGGGGCTGTGTTTAAGGCCAGCAGCAAAAATGTATGGTCAAATTTGAATATCTAAGAGTCCTAACTGCAGATACAGGTTGTGGGAGATGAGGCAAGTCTGATGCTGGGACATACCATAGAATAATTGAAGTTTTATCTGTATCTGTTTCTCTCCATTTCTAGTTCTTAATATATTTCTCAGATACACAAGTTTCTTGTGCCAACTCTCTTTCCTTAGCTCTTCACTCCCTCAAATTCACAAAAGCCATGGGGCCTGAATCTGTCTTTGCCTGCTGGGTGGGACTTGATCCTGTGGATTTTTCTGGCCAGGGTCTTTATCTCAAAAAGTAACCTAGTCAGATTATTATTTATTGCTCCGAAGAGTTTCACTTGGTGCCTCATATGTTTAGCAGTTGACACAAGTCACTTCTTGCGAGGGTGACAGAG